GAAATCAAAGATTTGCTTTTGGTAAAGCTTTCCTGGATGACGAGGCAGGTGGTTATTTGCAGACCTCTGATAGTCTGCTCTGTCTTTCTCACTCTGCAGCCAAGCAGCCCCGGAGACTATTACACTTCCTTAGACGAAGACCTGAAGATCGAGATGATTGAGAAACTTTTTGCTTTGGACACGGATGCCAAGAATCAGTGCAACTCACAGGTAAGAGAAGCCAGCAGGAAAATGTAACATCATCATCAGTGTGTAGCACACACATCTCTTTGGCAGCTAATGCTTACTCCTTTGGGCCGCCAGCACTGCAAGAGAACAGAGTCCAGGGGTTGTGTATTGATAGATAAAGCAAGATGTGAAGGAAACCAGCACCATTTTGAACAGGGGGGGAAAGCTCGGAAACCTCAATTAAGGCTATTTTTTTATTTTTTGTTACATCACATTTGGGCAGGCATAGGCAAACTCTGGCCCTCCAGATGTTTGGGACTACAATTCCCACCACCCCTAGCTAAAAGGACCAGTGGTCAGGGATGATGGGAATTGTAGTCCCAAACATCTGGAGCGCCGGAGTTTACCTATGCCTGCATTTGAGTAAAGACTGTAGCTCAGAAGCAGAGCAGCCTCAATCCCCACCATCTCCAGGCAGGACTAGATGAGACTCCTGCCTGGAATCCTGGACAACTGCTTCCTATCAGTTTGTAGGCATTACTGAGCTTGAAAACCAATGGACTGACTCTGTGTAATATGGCAGCTTCCTACTTTCCTGCTCCAGCCTGGTTCCTTCCCGATGTTTTGGACTACAACTCCCAGCATGCCTGACCATGCTGGCTGAGGCTGATGGGAGTTGGATTCAGCCAACATCTGAAAAGCGTCAAGTTGAGGAATAATAATAAAAGTAATTTATTATCTATACACCGCCCATCTGGCTGGGTTTCCCCAGCCACTCTGGGTGGCTTCCAACAAAACAGTAAATACAATAACCTATTAAACATTAAAAGCTTCCCTAAACAGGGCTGCCTTTAGATGTCTTCTAAAAGTTTGGTAGTTGTTTTTCTCTTTGACATCTGGTGGGAGGGCATTCCACAGGGCGGGTGCCACTACCGAGAAGGCCCTCTGTCTGGTTCCCCGTAACTTGGCTTCTTGCAACGAGGGAACCACCAGAAGGCCCTCGCCGCTGGACCTCAGTGTCCGGGCAAAATGATGGAGGTGGAGATGCTCCTTCAGATATACTGGACCAAGGCCGTTTAGGGCTTTAAAGGTCAGCACAAACACTTTGAATTGTGCTCGGAAACGTACTGGAAGCCAGTGTAGGTCTTTCAAGACCAGTGTTATGTGGTCTCGGCAGCCGCTCCCAGTCACCAGTCTAGCTGCCGCATTCTGGATTAGTTGTAGTTTCCGGGTCACCTTCAAAGGTAGCCCCACATAGAGGAAGGCAGCACAACAGTGTTAAAGATTGTTCTAGGAAAGAGGAGGAAAAACGTTTCTTCCAGGATAATTATTCTTTCGTACTGTTGCAATCACAATGTCTTCCCTGCTCCCTTCTCTCTGTGCAGACTGATTTCAACGAGCTGGACCTTGAAACTTTGGCTCCTTACATTCCAATGGACGGAGAAGATTTCCAACTCAGCCCGATCTGTCAAGAGGAGCGGCCCCTCTCCGAAAGCGCCCAGCTCACTCAGCAGAGCTTGAGCAACATGAGCAACCTCTTCCAGCCCCTTGTTCCTCCCTCGCAGGACCAGTTCTTTCCGGAGAAATACTGCCAGCCGATGTCTAACAAAAACGTCAACACGGGCCAGGGGACTCTGCCACCCCCCTTCTTGAACGGCGGAAGCCAGCCATCCTCTTTGCTGCCCTACTATGCCCAAGCCAGCACTCCTCTGTCTTCAATGGGTGGAAGACCCAACACACAGTGGCCCCCTGACCCACCCTTACAATATGCCCCTACGAAACAGAGAGCGGCCGTCAACAAGTGTTCGGGATCCATAGCTAGCTCTCCATTGGGGCCACCGCTGCACCTGCCTGATATGAACTTATATAAGAAAAGGTAACTCGGAGGAAAGAGTGTGTGAATTTAGGTAGCTGGTTTGAGCTCATTCATTCGTTATGTTGAGAAGGTGGAGAACTGGGCCCTTTGTTGCCAGAAACCAGCTCCCCATAGAAAATCCCAAGAGAGTGTGTGAATTATGGTATTTTTCGCTCTATAGGACGCACCCGACCATAGGGCACGCCTTGTTTTAGAGGGGGAGAACAAGAAAAAAAATTCTCCCCCTCTCTGCTCAGCGCCCCTTCAGCGAAGCGGCAGAAGAAACAGAGCCCCTTCCATTTTTCCTCCTGCTTCGCTGAAGGGGCGCTGCGCAGCTCTCTCTCTCTGCTGAAGCCAGGAGAGTCTTGCTTTCCTGGCATCAGCAAAAGGAACCCGAAGCCTCCGGAGGCTTCAGGCGGCTATCCCTGAAGCCTGGAGAGCGAGAGGGGTTGGTGCGCACTGACCCCTCTCGCTCTCCAGGCTTCAATGAAAGCAACGCGAAGCCTCCGGAACGCGGAGGGAGCGCTCCCTCTGCGCTTCAGAGGCTTCGCGTTGCTATCGCTGAAACCAAGCACCCTGCATTGGCTCCATAGGACGCACACACATTTCCCCTTAATTTTTGGAGGGGAAAAAGTGCGCCCGGCAGTTAAAAATACGGTAAATCAAAACCTTAAAACTTAGAGTGGGGGGTGGAACAGTCTTGGGAAACGTCCCCCCACAAGCCAGTAGCCAAAAACAAGCCACTGGGACATTTGTCCAGCCATTTCTGAAAGCCCTGACCAACCTTCGCTTGGTTCCATTTGGACTTGGAACTTTTGAAAGTGTGTCCCTAATGGGTTTCCCTAAATGGAGCCTTAAATCGTTAACGACTTTTAATAGACGAGCACGTTCAGAATAAGGTGAAAGAGTGACTGGGCTTTCCATTTTCGGCCCAGAGGCCAAGTGGTGGAAACAAAAGGGAGGAACACCGACAGCAATATACTTTTAAGTAGAAACCTTAAGGGGAAGTTAATTGTCCCAGGAAGAAAAAAGAAAAGAAAAAAAAACGTTGCCAGCAGATCTGCTTTTCAAAGGGTCGGGAAGAGGTCAGCGTGTCTTCTTGGAGAGATTTTCATAATTTAAAAACCATGTGATTATAGTATGGCTGATTTAAATAAATAATAATAATAATAATAATAATAATAAACCGTAGGCATGGGCTAAGATGGGTGGGGAACTGGTGGTTCCCCAAACGCTGCAGGACTGCAGCTACCATCAGCCTTAGGCAGCATAGCCAGTGGTTAATGGGAGTTTTAGTCCCCTCACAGGTCTGCAGGGCCACAGGTCCCAGCCTTGGCCTAAGGATCTGTGTGCAAGTGCACACTCACATTGGCCACTTAAAAAAAAAAGATTTCAGCCAGCTGGGGATCTTTCACATGTTAATTGTAGCAGTTTAGCTGTTGACATGGAGGGACGCGGGTGGCGCTGTGGGTTAAACCACAGAGCCTAGGACTTGCTGATCAGAAGGTTGGCGGTTCGAATCCCCACAACGGGGTGAGCTCCCATTGCTCGGTCCCTGCTCCTGCCAACCTAGCAGTTCGAAAGCGCGTCAAAGTGCAAGTAGATAAATAGGTACCGCTCCGGCGGGAAGGTAAACGGCGTTTCCGTGCGCTGCTCTGGTTCTCCAGAAGCGACTTAGTCATGCTGGCCACATGACCCGGAAGCTGTACGCCGGCTCCCTCGGCCAGTAAAGCGAGATGAGCACTGCAACCCCAGAGTCGGTCGCAACTGGACCTAATGGTCAGGGGTCCCTTTACCTTTACCTTTTAGCTGCTGACATAATCCAGTACTGCTGCAGCAACATTTGATAGGACAGAATCATGTGGGTGGGGCCAGTTACATAAAGCCGTCCCGCCCAATAGCTGTTCATCCAGGAAGGGAGGGAGATGATCCTATTGGAGGGATCAAAATATATAAATGTCATAAATAAATAAACTCGGGGTGGGGGGTCTACGTGGTTCCCAGTTGGCCTCTCATCCAATCGCTGATTGGACCAGACGTGTTTAGCTTCAGCAAAGCGGCCTTGTCTCTTCAAACCATACCCAGCCCATTGACCTCATCTACGACGTTCCAGCCTTCCAAATGTTGTCATCGTGGTGTGGGATGATGCCATTCTCACACTGCCACATGCCACCTTAGCCTGACGTGACAGGCCATAAGGAAAAACAGACTGCTTCTGTTGACCTCGTGCCTCTGCTACCAGCAAGGCATTGTGAATTGTCTACTACAGCACAAAGGGCGAGCAGAGCTTTGGCAGCAGATACTGTCTGCGGAAAACAGCTGTGATACACAAAAACGATTAAATAAGTCTCCACTGCCAACCCGCATCCTTCACTCACGCCTAAAGCATTCTTCCTGTGGGGGAGTGCAGGTTGCTATTGAAGCAGAAAGAATATTGCAGCTTGAATAAACTATGCGGGTTGGTATTGGACTCGTCGGTTGTGTATGCTACAGCTGTTCTCTACAGTCACTGAGTGGGACAGGCATTTGTGGTCCTCCAGAGGTTGTTGGATGGCTCCAAAGTCAGCAGGGACAGTGGCCAGAGATGTTGGCAGTCCACCAGCAGCTGGAGAACCACCATTCACATCCTTGCTCAAGGAGGACATCCCAAGTCTTTCCCCAAGAATCCAACAGCAACCTAAGTTAGGAACAAGAGGCCTCTGCAGGTCAGCAAGTCTCACTGTTCTGGTTTGAAGCTTGGCTTGAGGAAAGATCCTTCTCCAGTGTTTTGTTTTGTTTGTCAAATGCTTAACGAAACAATGGCTTTGTCTTGATAGGTCGCTGGAGTGCCTTGGGCAGCGGGGCATGGATATAAACCCTGCGCGGATTGCTCTTGCCAACAGTTTGAAGCTGAAGAGGCAGCTGGACTATGAAGAGCAAGCCTTTCAACACCTGAATGGGGTAATCTGTCCTTTGCAAAGGCTGCCCTTTTTGAGAAAGGGCCATAGCTCAGTGGTAGAGCATTTGCTTAGCATGGGGAAGGTCCTGGGTTCAATCCCCAATGTTTCCAGGAATCTGGATTGCTCCCTGGAGATGCTTAATCAGTGTGGTCAGTAATGAGCTAGTTGCTTGTCACCCAAAGGGTCTCCAAGTGACTTATATTCGTGTGTGTGTGTGTGTATCATATAACACATTAGTGTTCCACACAACATACTGGGGAAAATCAACAACAACAAAAATAGCTCCCCAATGGTGATATAAAACACTGACAGCATGCTAACAACTTGATGTAAGACAATTTCCTAAGTTCCCTTCTATGGCCTCAAAACAAAAATGAGTTTGTTTTTTTAAACAATATTCTTTTCTTGTCAGGCTTATACTGTCTCTTTCCCCTCCCCCCATCTATAGATACAAGGAGAAACATCTGGCATTAACCCAACACACTTAATGTGGAAAAGGATGAAAATCCTCAGAGGTGAAAATTGTGCATTACTTACAGAGAAGAAGTCGCTCAGCACAAGTGTCCTTAATGGTAAGACCCTTTTTTTAAAGAAATGAAAGGTAATTCAATATAACCAAATGGAGTCACATGGGGTCCACTATGTCACTGTTGGGCAGCTGGTGACAGAACACAAAACTTGCCCTGCAGATGAAGTCCCTGCCTTTACATTTCATTTTTTGCCACATCTTATGCTCACTGTCTGTTTTTCTGCACTAACTTCAATCTCCTTAAGAAGAGTATTGTGGGACCAGATGGGCAAATGGTCCATCTTTGCCAGTGTTCTGTTTTCCCAGGGTGACCAGACCAGCGTGGATTTGATTTAAATCAAATTGATTTAAATCGCTAGTCAGTAAGACCTGATTTAAATCACTAGTCAGTAAGACTTGATTTAAATCACTTTTTTACAGAAAGACTCAATCTTGCTGGTATAAACCTAATATTTACAACCAGAGGAAGGTTTCATTTTTGGAATAATAAATTTTCAGAGTAGTTTTTACAGTTATATCAAAAATTACTGATTTGGTTATACTATTAGAAATACATAGAGAGATAATTATGAAATAATGGTGAGGTTAAACAAGTTAAATGTTTATATTTGAACAACTTTTCTGCTGTACTTTATTGGAAGGAGAAAAATAATCATTTCCTTAATAACAATTTAAACAATCTGTTCATCTAAAACAATAGCATTATAGCATATGTACTCATGTTTGTTGACTGATGTGGTTAAACGGGTGTTTTTTTAAAAAAAATCTTAAGACACATGAAAAACTTAAAACAAATCCTTATTTCCTGGTGAATAACCTTTGGACTATAATGTAACTTAAATAGACAACTATCTTTAGAAAGATCCCCCCCCCAAAAAAAAACCATTTTATTTTAAAAATCCAATTTAAATTAAAAAAAATCTGATCTTTTTTATAATTTTTTTTTTTTAAGTCATTGATTTATATCCACCCTGAGCCAGACCTCTGCTAAGCTCACAAGGACAGCATGACTTGCAGCCTCCAGTGGCACCTTGCATGAGTGAATGTGAGCCACCATCACACATCCATAGATACAACTGCCTGAGATTATACGGCAGTTCTTTGGGGAAGAGCTGCAGCCCAGCTTCAGAGCACCTGCTTTGAATGCAATTGGTCCTGGGCTCCACCTCCCAGTATATCCAGGTAGAGCTGAGAATGCCACCCCCCCCCACCAGAAACCCTGGAGAGCCAATCAGGGACAACAGTACCGAGCTAGAGTTAGCAGGAGCCTTTTGTTTTAACTTGGAAATGGCTGCTGAAAACTCTTATATTCCGCCAGGCTATGCAGGCAGCTGGGGACGTGGGTGGCGCTGTGGGTTAAACCACAGAGCCTAGGACTTGCTGATCAGAAGGTCGGTGGTTCGAATCCCCGCGACGGAGTGAGCTCCTGTTGCTCGGTCCCTGCTCCTGCCCACCTAGCAGTTCAAAAGCACGTCAAAGTGCAAGTAGATAAATAGGTACCACTCCGGCGGGAAGGTAAACGGCGTTTCCATGCGCTGCTCTGGGTCACCAAAAGCGGCTTAGTCATGCTGGCCACATGACCCGGACGTTGTATGCCGGCTCCCTTGGCCAATAAAGCGAGATGAGCGCCACAACCCCAGAGTCGGCCACGACTGGACCTAATGGTCAGGGGTCCCTTTACCTTTACCTTTATGCAGGCAGTTAAGAACACATCTGTCCACAACGGTTAATTGATGTATGGGGTTTTTGTTTTGTTTTTTACTTATTTTATATGTTTTCACTGTATGGTCGTATGTATTTTTTGGGTAAGCCGCTCTGAAATCTTCTATGGAATAGCACTGTAAGAACATTTTAATAAATAAATCATTGTCATTATTCTTACAATTCATTACATCCCCTAAGGTACCATTTGGATTACAACAATCACAACACTAATATTGACATACAATATTCCACAATATCGAAACAGCCTAAGCAGACAAATGCGCATGCCAGTGTCAGCCTGCTCTCTTGACTCCTGGACAAACGTGGGGGGAAATCTTGCGTCTGGAATTGCGTTTCTAAAAGCGGACATCCTTTTTGAAGCCCCATTTTCTGCTTTTGATTTGCAGATGAGTTCCTTTGCAACCCGCAAAGAGGACCAGGCCAGCCCCCTATGAATATGGGGCAGCAGCAACTGCAGCCACGGCATCCGCCGGCCTCTTTGAGAAACTCTGCCAACATCCCCAAAGCTGCCTTCTCCCCACACTTTTACTGCCCCCCTTATCAGGACTTCAGTGTGCCACAAGGTCATAGGATGTCAGGTGAGTTCTGTCGCAAACCATAACACGAACTTGGAGGGACTGTTTTCCAACGGGTGGCAGGGAGTGGGTGGGGAAGAAACCAGTGGTTGCAGGCAGGAGCTCACCTACGACTTGGTTCATGACACTTGCCTGGCCCTGATCTTGATCAGACCCTGGACCGCCCCTCAATACAGGGTAAAGGTAAAGGGACCCCTGACCGTTAGGTCCAGTCGCGGACGACTCTGGGGTTGCGGCGCTCATCTCGCTTTACTGGCCGAGGGAGCCGGCGTACAGCTTCCAGTTCATGTGGCCAGCATGACTAAGCTGCTTCTGGCGAATCAGAGCAGTGCACGGAAACGCCGTTTACTTTCCCGCCGGAGTGGTACCTATTTATCTACTTGCACTTTGACGTGCTTTCGAACTGCTAGGTTGGCAGGAGCAGGGACCGAGCAACGGGAGCTCACCCCGTCACGGGGATTCAAACCACCGACCATCTGATCAGCAAGCCCTAGGCTCTGTGGTTTAACCCACAGCGCCACCCGCGTCCTGCCCCCCAATACCATTTAGTAAATAGATAAATGAAGCCAAGCATGCCTGCTCCAGACGTATAATTGACATGGTATGTAGGTGGACCCTCAGCTGCAGTGCTCAGAGACTGTGGAACTCTCTTGTGTTTTTCTTTCTCTGGTGGGTGTTTGGTTCCTTCCCTGTTCGCCTTTCATGACCCAGCAAAGACTATTGAAATGCCTTCAGTATGAGTGCCTAGCCCCATCCCTGCACTGAAGCCTGAAGTTAATAAGGCTTGGTTCTGTTGCCTTATTTTTGTTCCTGCTCAAGCTGATGTGTTCTTCTTGCTGGACACTTGCAGTTTTCTCATCGAAGCAGTGTGCTATTTTTCTCATCAAATAATAATAATAATAATAATAATTTATTATTTATACCCCGCCCATCTGGCTGGGTCCCCCCAGCCACTCTGGGCGGCTTCCAACAAAACACTAAAATACAATAACCTATTAAACATTAAAAGCTTCCCTAAACAGGGCTGCCTTTAGATGTCTTCTAAAAGTTTGGTAGTTATTTTCCTCTTTGACATCTGGTGGGAGGGCGTTCCACAGGGCGGGCGCCACTACCGAGAAGGCCCTCTGCCTGGTTCCCTGTAACTTGGATTCTCACAGCGAGGGAACCGCCAGAAGGCCCTTGGCAGTGGACCTCAGTGTCCGGGCAGAACGATGGAGGTGGAGACTCTCCTTCAGGTATACTGGACCGAGGCCATTTAGGGCTCAAAGGGGATGTATGGTGTTTTCTTCTTGTACACTGTCCTTTCCAGGCAGAAATCTGAAGCCTGAACCGAAATAAATAAATGAAGGCCGCTCAACATCTAAATCTTCTCGTTTCAGGAGTGACAAGTCGCCTGCTCGGCTCATCCTTGGAACCTTATTTGTTGCCGGAACTGACCCGATATGACTGTGAGGTTAACGTCCCAGTTCTCGGGAGTTCGACGCTCCTGCAAGGCAGCGATTTGCTCCGAGCTCTCGATCAGGCAACCTGAAGCAGCCTTGCAGCATTCCCTGGCCTATACCGTCCAAAAACAAACAAAAACAAACCAGCTGCAGTTTTTAAATCTATTTTTGCAAGTAGACAATTTCTAATACTGATTACACTTTTACAAGATTTTACTTAACTATTGAACTTGTCCACGTCACCAAATAGTGGCCTTTCTGTGAAGTTACTCACTTTCCTTATTTGCATTAAAAAAAAAGTATGCATCTACTGTATTTCCAAACCCCTTCTATTTCGATAAGACGTTCCTTAGAAAATTTATATTATATGATCCCCCACCGCTGTGTAATTTATGTGTTCTGAAACTTCCTCGTTATTCATGCTAATAAAAGAAGAAGAAGCTGCGGTGTGCTCGCTCGCGCCTCTATGTAATACTTTGGCTCCGTTTATTGCAAAGGTTTATTTTATTTTATTGCCAAAGATAAGTGAAATAAACAAATCTGATGAAATGCACTTGTTGCCCTACCCCTAGTTTTTCCTCTGCATTTTCTAACATGGGGGGAAAAACAATAATCACAGATTATGGCCTTTTAACAATTAAAAAAAAAGCTAGCGATGAAACGTCCATAATTCTAACACACCCAACGGCAGCTTTCGTGTTGGTTGGTCCTTGCCAAGTTGCAAATTACAGCCTTTCCCCTTACGTTTAGGTCACATATTTAAAACTTGGGGCTGTGTTTTTGTCCGAGGCAGAACTAACCTAGCCATACAGGGCTAATCCAAGGCAAGGCCAATCCAA